CCTGTAACCCTTCCCTAGGATCGATCGGGGATGATGGCAGCAGCGAGCAGAGCAGCGGTGGCGGGGAGAGCGACGTTCTGCTTCTTCTCCGCGCTCATCACAACGCGGCTCTTGTTGCTGACGAGCATGGGGGTAGCAGCGACCTTGCTCGACACAGCGCTCTTGTTAGCCAAGAGGCTGGTGGGAGCCACCACGGAGGCAGAGCAGACAGCGAAGGCAGCCATGGCTGAGAGTAGGCTTTGGCTGGATGAGCTGACTGCGGAGAGGAATCTGGTGTGGAGGCTGGAGTATGCGGTGACCAGACAACAGACATAGCGGGTGAGAGCGCCCATAACCCCCCAGGCCGACGTGCCTGTAACCCTTCCCTAGGATCATCGGGGATCCCCAGTGGACCTCTGACATAAACGCCTCGTTTATGGTCATCTGAAATGTTGCCGATGCGTTGGTCAGTGCAAAAGGCATCACTGTATACTCGAACGACCCGTATCTAGTTCTGAAAGCTATCTTGGCGCAGTCAGACAGTTCGACCCTAATCTGGTGGTAACCCCCCTTTAAGTCAATTTACAAAAACGTGCGGGCTGTTCGTAGTTGATCTATCAGTTCGTCAGCGTGGGGAATGGGGTATCGCGGTTTGATGTTTACTCTATTCAGTGCGTGATAATCGATACATATGCGGCCGCACAATTTGCCCCTGGGAAATTATCATTTAGAAGATCCTGGTAACTGGAATCTGATGGGTGGCCAAATCGTGCGCAATGGCGATGCGCCCGCAATGGGATTCACTTTCATTTTGGGTGAGCTGATAGGTCGGGCAAACAGGCGCGCACAGAGCGCATTTTACGCAACGTTCAGCTGGCAAAACTGGCTTTGATGGATAGTTCGTAAGAATCCCCAATATACTGTACCCGCTAAAACGCTCAATAAACTTAACAATTTTGGGTAATGCCAAGCTGAATTTGCCAGTAAAAACGCATGCGTACCAGCGCGCTTATTAAATCCACGCCAAACATGGTCTGATCCAGCAGCTTTCTCATCCAACAGTTTTTTTCGGTGTGAACAGTATCGGTGCGGCGAACGGTGACGAGCTCGGTCGGATGAATTTCTTCTCTAACAGGTAGTCTAACTCCTTCCTCAGTTTGTCAGGCTCGGGCTGTGTCAGTCTGAACTGTTGCTGTACGGTTGGTTGTGCCCCCGATTCTAACTCTATTTGGTGGTCGTGTGCTCGATGAGGTGGCAGTCCCTCTGGCAAGTCCTCGGGGAAAATCCCTAGGTATCCTTTCAGTAGTTCCTCTAGTTCGGGCGGTACAGCTGCGAGCAATTTCTGGTAATCGCTCTGCGCCTTTGCTTCTCCTACCACTGCGATGTCTACTGCATACGCGTCAGCTCCAGCAGCGAGAGCCCGTTTCATCGTGATGGCATTGACGTGGACCGTTGAAGACTCGGGCGACTGCCAGCGAGGTAGCTCGACCCAGTTACCACTACTTCGTACAGTGCAGCTACCCGTCGTCCAGTCAATTCGCGGGTTGTAGCGTCGCAGCCAATCACGTCCCATAAAAATGTAGTGCCCATCCAGTGTCGTTGCGGGCATTTCCTGTGTAAACCCGAAGTTCCCCCCGCAGCGAACTTTTACATCCTCCACCTTTTCCCATATGGTCAGTGGCATGCCGTCAACTAAGCGCGTGTCGATATCCGGTAAGCAACGGCTAAGTGTCAGTTGCAGTTTTCGTGCGATTGCAGTATTAACTAAACCGTAACTTGCTCCTTTGTCTATAAAAATCTTCACTACTACCCCCTTATCTTCCCGTGAATCAGCATTGGGCAGTCCGTCGCTGTACCCTCCTTATTCATCCGAGCCCGATCGATAGCGTGAATCGGTACTGCAACTCGGTGAGGGTCAGTGAGGTCAGGCGAGCAGTGGGTCTCGTAGTAGTGGGCCCGTTCTCGAATGACTGCTGTCGTTTTCCTGCCTTTGAGACTCCCTCCCCTGCTCTGCTCCTCAGGGCCTTAGCTCCTCTTGGCATTCACTCTTGCGATGGCCCAGCCTATTGCAAGCAAAGCAGCGCCCTTTGAACGACGCAGCAGCTGCGTTCGCCGCAACGGCATGTGCGGTGGTGTGTTCGGTCGGTCCCCGAGGACGATGTCCGTAGTAGGACCCCGGTCTCGGTCGGCGCGAAATAACGATTTTCTCGGCAAGCGCGAGAATTTCATTGAAGTTAGATAGCCCGCGGAGTATGATCTCGTGCAAAATGTCCGGCTTCAGTCCGCTTACGTAACGGTCCATCCGCTTCGCCTCGTGCATGTAGCCGATTTGCTCGCACAGAGCGAGAAAACTGCTGGTGTAGTCTTGAACCGACCCGAGCTGTCGCCAGGTGCGCAGTTTCTGACGCGCCGAAATAGAAGCCGCGATCGGCTCGAAGCGCGCCCGAAGCCCTGCGCACCACGCATCCCACGTGCTATACTGTCTCGAAGAATGAACTCCAAGTAATGGCAGGCCCCTTTCGCGACGGCGGCTCGTGGGTGCATGGCGACGTTACGATAACTCGCCACCAGTCCATGGCGGGGCCCTGTAGCAGCGAGACCGCGTATCTAATCTTCACTGGGTCTGACGTGACGTAATTTGCGTCGAAGAAGGCGTTCATCGTGAAGACCCACAATTGAACCGTCGGACCTCCACGTTGGCTAGGGTCGAAGTAGGGCGGGCGCTGCGGCTTGAGTGACATTGGCTCACCAATGTCGTCGTTGCCTGAAGACGCCGTAAATCCGACGTGACGACGCGCTTCGCGGGGTGCATTCACGGTCGGAACGGCCCTGGTCCTTGCCATGCCAGGCATTGATTGGGCGACGCCATCACTGGCTGCGCCTGAGCGCTGTCCCACGCTGTCGTGATATGACGGTGTCCCAGACGAGATGACAATCGGCTCATCCGATTGCGCAGGTGCATTTGCAGGTGTCGATGCTGGTGCTGGTGCATTCGTCGTTGATTGCTGCCGGGCGAAGTTGCATTCCGCCATGAGCGCCGCGATTTCGAGGGCCGAATCTTCGAGTTGGCGCATGAGTTTGTCAAGACGTTCCTGCGTCATTGTCGTGAGGTTAGATTCGGCCATGGTGGGGGTGTCGGGCAAGCTCAGCGAGAGCCTCAGTCGTGGCCGTGCGTGCTTACGAGAGAGCACTTCGAGCGGCGGTGCTTAGGCGCTTAGAGATGTATACCCGCTAAAAAAATTGAGATAGTGGGGAAGCGAAGGTGTGGGTGCGGCTCGAGAAGAGATTGTAGGCTCTGAATACCACGTGTTACGAGTGCACTTGAGCGAGCGAGCGAGAATTGCACTATCGAAGCAAAACAGTACATCGAGCGAAGGCATGAGCGAGAACTATACAGCGAAAGGCCACAGTGGTAACGGTAACGAACTGTGGGTGGTGCGCGACGGGCCTGTGAGTGAGGTTGGGACTGAGGTCGGGAAATGTCGAAGCGGAGGCCTGGAGCGCGGGTTACCAACCAAGTCGTGAGGTTGGGTCGCGATAGGTACAGTGGCGGGAATGTGGTCGAGGCGAATGTCGCGAGTGATAACGGTGCACAGTGTGGTGGGAAAAGTGGTGTACGCGCTAAGCAGGGATGTGGCGTAAGGAAAAGAAATTTTCCTTACATTAGCACTCTTTGAAACTGGGCCTCCCTTCACTATTTTGTCTGCTCGCTTGTTTCACGTTGTATACTGTTCATATCTGATAGGTATTGAGCAAAAACGGACTGAAAATGACCCTGCTCATATTGTACACGCCCTGACAGAACCCCTCTCCAAACGCACTTCCTGACCATCCCAGCCTATGCCCTTTTTTACAAGACCCACCTCCAGCCAGGTTGAGACGAGACGCCAAGATCGCGCCTCACTCACTCCTTTTCAAATTCTCGCCATTCGCCACGTGCCTTAGAAAGGCGCATCGATACCGGCGCGAAACACCATGTTTTGATTGCTGTTTCGCGCTCGCGCGCAGCACCGCGTTCACGCCTGTCGCTCCCTTCCCCGCACTTACCGCTTCCCACCGATCCAGCTGCTCCCACTGGCCCCTCTCGCGGTCGTTCCCATCCCGACACCGCATTTCGCGTCGCATCGCAATAATACGTTCTAAGGGTTAACGGCTAGCAGGCGTCATTGACGGTCGGGAGCAATGGTGTCGTACCGGTCGGTACTTCAGACGGTGGAGGCGGCGCTGGGGCCTGACGGCCGGCGGGGCAAGCAGCTGACGGCGGCGCAGCGCGGCGACCTCTTTTACGCGCTCTCGCTCGTCGAAGATGACCTCAGGTATGACGTCACGACGGTAGGCATGACATCAGACGTTAGCTTCATGACGTCACGACGCTAGGTGTGTGACGTGAAAGTGGTGCGTGGCTGTAGACGATCGCCCGCGACGCGTTATGGCGGTAATGGCAGCGCCTACAGAACCGATAGCTTTAGATTCGACCTAGTGTGAGGTGGCGAGAGGGTTGGGTTGGGACTGCGACGACGAGGCGCACGTGCCTGCTGAGATGCAGAATCCACGCCTCCTCTTCCCCCCCACCCACCCCACCTCCCCCTCCCCTCCTTCTCTCCCCCGGCCCCCCCGTCGTGGCGGAGAAGCCGCGGAATGAGCAGCGGCGCTCAGGTGCGCTCCACTCCTCCTCGCCCGCGACCATCTCCCCTCGTCCCCCTTTCCGGTCCGCGCAGGAAGGAACCTTTTGGTGAGCAAGCTCCGCGACGAGCAGCAGGGGGCGCAGGCACACAGCAAGGAGGTGCCGCTGCGTTGTTTGCTGCTTATATCAACCCAACCCAACCCAACCCACCCACCTGGCGCCCTTGTCTCCACGTCCCCCTTTTTAGGAGCCTTCTGGCAAAGAAGTCGCGCGACGAGCAGCAGCGAGCGCTGGTGCGCGGCAAGGAGGTACCACTGCTTGCTGATCATGAACCTAACCCACACCCCTCCCACCCTCCCTTGTCCCAATTTCTCCTCTCCCCTTCCACCCCTTGCAGGAACCTCCTGGCAAAGAAGCCGCGCGACGAGCAGCAGCGAGCGCAGGTGCGCAGCAAGGAGGTGCCGCTGCCTGACGGGCCCCCTGCTGTGCTGGACGCCAAGGACTTGCAGGTGAGGGGTGGTGAGGGGTGGTGAGGGGTGAAACATGAGATGTGCAGGTGAGTGAGGCTACCCCCTGTGACGTGCAGGTGAGGCCACCCGTCCCTCTGTGCGCTCCTTCATCCCCGGTTGGGTTGGGACCTGCAGGTGAGGGATGAGGCGTTCTGGCTTGGAATGGACTGTGATGACGCGGATTTTCGTTGTGCTGCTGCCTCCACTGCTGCCTTCAGTGACTTGCATGTGTTGCCGTCTCCTTCTGATTCACCCGTCCGCCCCTCCCTTCCCCGTCCCCCCTTGCGTGCGTTGCCCCCACAGCTGGTGCTGCAGCTGAGCGACGCGTTTGAGATGAACAAGGTGGACTGTGTGGCACTGGTGCTGCTGCTACCTCCAAATTGCTCCCTTTCCTGCCACTCTCTCCTCCCCTCCTTTCCCCCCCTCCCTCCCCTCCCCCAATCACAGCTCGCGCTGCAGCTCAGCGATGCGTTCGAAATTAACGAGGTGGACTGTGTTGCATTGCTGGTGGCGGCACACCATGAGGTATGCAGTGCGGTGCGGTGCGGTGATGTCTGGGGTGTGAGTGAGTGAGGTATGGCATTGCCGGGGCACGAGGCAGTGCATTGCTGCCGTGCTCTCCAGACACCATCCAGATGCCTCATGTTGTGATTCATTCACAACATGGCCTCCTTAATCGTTCACTTCAGAACCAGGGGACAACCTGGACGACCGGGCCATGGCACGCGGACGGCCAGCTGTGGCACCTAGGGTACTCATGTGATTGCTGTGGTTGCATCAAGTCATCCATGCTCACTGCACTGCACGACGCATTATGCTTTGTCGCATGCACCCATGGCTTCTACCTCCTCCGAGTACCTCATTTCGTTTTCTCCGATCCCACATTCACATCGCCCTCTCTTCTCTTTCCCCAACCACTGCAGTCGTTGCCCTAAAGCATCCACCGCATGAGACACATGCTGTTGGCGTGGCTTGGCAAGCATGGCGTGTGCTGTGGGCCCCGCCCCATTTGACCATGACATACGCGATGCCTATCGCCCTCACTCACCCTCTCATCATGCTCATCACACCTACTCACTCCCGACACTGGGGCATAGCGGGCCCAGTGGACAGTGACGTGACGCGCCTGGCGGCAAGGGCTGTGGTGTACAGAGAGGCTCACTAGGTACCCTGTTTTTCCCTCCCAACTCTCTCCCCTCCCTCTCTCAACTCGATCACTGGCATGCCCGTCACACTCACTCCTCAACAGTGGGGCATAGCAGGGAGGGCGGACAGTGACGTGGTGCGGCTGGCAGCGGGGCTGTGGTTCACAGAGAGGCGTGCGCTGCTCTCCACGCTCTTCCTCCTCCTCAAGGTGCGTCCGCCCCCCCCCAAATTTCGCGTCCTCTCATTCGTCCACATGTTCAGAGTTCTTGGGGGACTGACTTGCTTAAAACCTTAAACCCTAAACCCGCAGCTATGGCTCCTGGCTCCCAGTGTCACCTCGCCTCTGTGTGCCTCTGGAGAGCCTCATGGCTTCACACCGCTCGCCGACACCCCATTGCGTTCCTGCCTCCACCCTCCTCGCCCCCGCCTCTTACCCTCCCACACACCGTACAACCTCTCCTCCCCTCTCTTGCTCGCTCCCCCACCCACACCCAGTGCCTGGCGGAAGTGTGAGCGACCCCCCCTGCTGCTGGTGTGCCAGCGGCCACGTTCCCCCCCTGCACGTGGTCCTACCGCTGTCGTGTGGTGTGCTTTGGCGCTCCCTCCTGCCCTCTCACACCCCTCCCACCGCTCCTTCCCGTGCTGCCCTCTTGGGTGCACCTGGCAGTGGGGAATGACAGGACAGTGCCAGTGCCAGTGATCCCCTGCTGGGCCTTGGGACCTGTAACCTGCGCTCGCTCCCCTTCTCCCTCTTCACCCTCTTGCTCCTCTCCTCCCCCCTTACTTTCCTTCGCTTCCCAACTCTCCCCAACTTTCGTCCCTTTCCCCCTCCCTCCCTCCCACCCTCCCTCTGCCCACCCCTAGGTCGTCTCCGCCTTCCCTTCACATTCTTTCCGTCTCACATTCTTTCCGTCCCTAGACCCACTGCTGCTAGACCACATTTGCCACTCCCTGCGCCCACACATGCAGGTGGCAGTGGTGGGTGACAGCATCATAGACCCACTGCTGCTAGACCACATGTGCCACTCCCTGCGCCCACACATGCAGGTGGCAGTGGTGGGTGACAGCATCATAGACCCACTGCTGCTAGACCACATGTGCCACTCCCTGCGCCCACACATGCAGGTGGCAGTGGTGGGTGACAGCATCATAGACCCACTGCTGCTAGACCACATGTGCCACTCCCTGCGCCCACACATGCAGGTGGCAGTGGTGGGTGACAGCATCATAGACCCACTGCTGCTAGACCACATGTGCCACTCCCTGCGCCCACACATGCTGCTAGACCACATGTGCCACTCCCTGCGCCCACACATGCAGGTGGCAGTGGTGGGTGACAGCATCATAGACCCACTGCTGCTAGACCACATGTGCCACTCCCTGCGCCCACACATGCAGGTGGCAGTGGTGGGTGACAGCATCATAGACCCACTGCTGCTAGACCACATGTGCCACTCCCTGCGCTCGCTCCCCCCTCTCCCTCCTCAACCTCTTCGTGCACATCCCCCCCTTCACATTCTATCCCTCCCATACTTATCTTTCCCCAACACACGTGGCAGTGGTGGACGACAGTGCATGCATCAGACCCCCTGGACCACGTGTGTCGCTACGTGCACTGCACTGGCTCCCCCTTCTCCTTCCTCACCCTCGTTCGCCTCACATTCCTTCCCTTTCATCTCGTCCCCCCCACACACAGGTGGCAGTGCTGGACGACAGTGCATCAGACCCTCTTCTCCTAGACCACGTGCGTCGCTACCTGCGCTCGCTGCTCCAATCAGGCCTCACCGCCCGCCTCTTCCGCCTGCTTCAAGAGCTCAACCGACCCGACGCCTCTGGTTCGGGCTCCCCGAGCCTGGCTCTCGTGGTGGCTGGGGCTGCTCCCCCCGCTGGGACGTCGCCGGTGGCAGGGGGAGGGGAGGGGGGTGGGGGAGGCGGAGGGGGGGAGCAGGGGGAGCGGGAGGGGCGGGGGGAGTGGGAGAGTATGTGATGGACGGGAGGGGGCTGCTGGCGAGGCGGGGGGATGTGGTGCAGCGGGAGAGGCTGCTGGTGGCTCAGTGCGTGGCGCTCGCATGCCTGCTCTGCCGACTCGGTCCGTGCTGTGCTGCTTTGCGTGCTGCTCCCCTTGCTGCTCCTTCTTCTCACAATACCTCTCATGCCCTGCACTGGGCTTTGCTTTAGACTGCGCATGAATCGTGTGCCTTCGCTTATCACCACCTCTTCCCCTCATACGTTTCTTCCCCACTCCCCCTCCCCCCCCCAACCACCCCACTGGTCCATCGTATCTGCTCCCCTCTCTCCCCATCCCCCGCCCACCAACCCTTCCCTCCCCTCTGCTCCGCTCTCTCCCAGACCCCAAGGAGGCCAAGGAGCTCTTTGAGCTGCTGCAAGACGCCGCCCGTGATTGGTCCGCTGCTGCAGCTGCCTCCTCTTCCTCCTCCACCGCCCTCGCCCTTCCCCCCATCCCCACGCCCTTGTCTCTCCCGGTTGCCCCCTCACCCGCGCCCGCCTCTGTCAGCACTGCCACAGAAGCAGTGGCGCTGCACATCACCTACACGCTCATGTTCGCGCTGCTGCACGCCCTGCTCTCCGACTCCCTTGCCTCCCCCTCCTCCGCCGCTGCTTCTGCAGCTGGGGGGCCCGCTGCCCCTGCTGCTGGTGCCCCTGCGTCCCCCTCCCCCTCTGCGGCCCTGCCGGCTGTGCTGGCGCCCAACGAGGCGTTCCGCAAGGAGTTCAGCAAACTTGTAAGTTTGACGGTTCATTGAATCCCCCTGCCAGCCTGCCAGCCCGCCAGCCTGCCAGCCCGCCAGCCAGCCTGCATGTCTCTCTGCGTGTCTGCCCCTCAGTGCTGGTCCAAATAAGGCGGTTCCTAGGCATCAATTCAGATGGTGTGTGGGGCTCCTGGAGTTGATCACACCTGTGAGTGTTGTTCAGTGCTGCTGCTGCCTCCGCTCCAGCGCTGGTGGACGTTGGAGCCAGGTCCTGTGACTTCCAGCAGTCTACTGTGACTTCCAGCAGTCTACTGTGACTTCCAGCAGTCTACTGTGACTTCCAGCAGTCTACTGTGACGGCCAGCAGTCTACTGTGACGGCCAGCAGTCTACTGTGACGGCCAGCAGTCTACTGTGACGGCCAGCAGTCTACTGTGACGGCTAGCTAACTAATTTGAAATTCAACAAATACTGTCTGAACCTCTCATTCTCATCTGCCAATCACCACTTCCCCACACTATGTATGTCTGTTCTCTCTCCCTCCCCCCCAAAATCAGGTTCTCAAGACAACACCATCCCCCACTGCCCCTTCATCCTCCCACGGCCTCGTCCCATTCCAATCCGGCCCACTCTCTCTCCCCCCCCAGTCCTCCCCCTCTGCTTCCACCTCCTCCCCACCCTCCTCCTCATCCCTCAACCCCCCTGCCCCTGATGACGTCATCTCTGTCATTCGCCTCGCCTGGGCCGTTTTCCTAGCCAACACCATCACCCTCCCGGCCTTCTCCGCCCCGAGCCTCTCCCCATCCCGAGCCTCTGCCCGAGGCTCGGTTGCAGCGGCAGCTCTAACGGCAGGAGGCTCGGGAGAGGAGGTGGTTGGGGATGAGGTGGCGGTGGCTCGGGAGTGTTTGAAAGACGAGACTTTGTTAAGTGCCACGACTCTGCTGCTGCAGCACGTGTTGTCATCTGCGGTGTTTGAAAACGACGATGAGGATTTAACGTTCACCTATATGGTCTACACACACAAGCTCCTCTCGTCCTTCTTCCTCCAGCCAATCACGCGCGAGCGAATTCGGGAGCTGCGCCACGCCTCCCTCTCCCTCCCTTTCCTCCCCAACACATCATCGTCCGGCCGTCCAGCTCACGCTGACGTGGACAAGGCTGCGCGCTTAGCTGGCATGTACCCCCACAGCATGGGGCGTGGCGTGGCTCGAAGCCTAGAGGAGGAGGATGAGCGAGAGCAGAGGCAGCAGCAGAGGGAGGAGGCAGAGGCACAGGAGCAGGTGGCAGTGAGGGGAAGGGCATATCTGGGGCTGCTGCAACTGGTGGGGGCGGTGTATGCGCGCCAGCCTGAGCTGATGGCGGGGGGCGGCGTGCTTTGGCAGTTTGTGATGTATGTGGGCGAGGAGCACAGAGGGGCGGCGTCGCTGGTGGCGTTTCTGAACCTGCTGGGCCAGCTGGTACGTGGGAGGGGGGGAGTGGGGGGAAGAGGAGGGAAAGGGGTGGAGCTTTGGAGGAGAAAAAGGGGTGAATGGGATGGAAGGGAGTGCCGATTTGTGGGGAGGGAGGGCAGGGGGGATGCTGTAGCAGTTAAGGGTGAGGGAGGAGAGCAGGGGGGTTGCTGTGGCAGTTAAGGGTGAGGGAGGAGAGCAGGGGGGTTGCTGTGGCAGTTAAGGGTGAGGGAGGAGAGCAGGGGGGATGCTGTGGCAGTTAAGGGTGAGGGAGGAGGGCAGGGGGGTTGCTGTGGCAGTTAAGGGTGAGGGAGGAGGGCAGGGGGGTTGCTGTGGCAGTTAAGGGTGAGGGAGGAGAGCAGGGGGGTTGCTGTGGCAGTTAAGGGTGAGGGAGGAGAGCAGGGGGGTTGCTGTGGCAGTTAAGGGTGAGGGAGGAGAGCAGGGGGGTTGCTGTGGCAGTTAAGGGTGAGGGAGGAGAGCAGGGGGGTTGCTGTGGCAGTTAAGGGTGAGGGAGGAGAGCAGGGGGGTTGCTGTGGCAGTTAAGGGTGAGGGAGGAGAGCAGGGGGGTTGCTGTGGCAGTTAAGGGTGAGGGAGGAGAGCAGGGGGGATGCTGTGGCAGTTAAGGGTGAGGGAGGAGAGCAGGGGGGTTGCTGTGGCAGTTAAGGGTGAGGGAGGAGAGCAGGGGGGATGCTGTGGCAGTTAAGGGTGAGGGAGGAGGGCAGGGGGGTTGCTGTGGCAGTTAAGGGTGAAGGAGGAGGGCAGGGGGGTTGCTGTGGCAGTTAAGGGTGAGGGAGGAGGGCAGGGGGGTTGCTGTGGCAGTTAAGGGTGAGGGAGGAGGGCAGGGGGGTTGCTGTGGCAGTTAAGGGTGAGGGAGGAGAGCAGGGGGGTTGCTGTGGCAGTCAAGGGTGAGGGAGGAGGGCAGGGGGGTTGCTGTGGCAGTTAAGGGTGAGGGAGGAGAGCAGGGGGTGAGGAGTGGGGGTGAGGAGTAGGGATGAGCAAGGGGCGTGGGGGTGAGGAGTAGGGATGAGCAAGGGGCGAACACGAACGTGTTCGCGTTCGCCCCTGCACGAACACCGCCGTTCGGCGAACCGAACACTGTTCGGTTCGCTGAACACCTTTTGGAAATAAAGGTGTTTGATGTTTGCCTGTGAAGGCGAACACCTTGCTGGCACTGGCGAACACGAACGTGTTCGTGGCAAACATGTTCGTGTTCGCCCAAGGACAGCATTCATTACAGTCACATCATGTGGAAAGCGAAATTGGGCAAACCTAATGTTGGGTCCCGCTTCTAGCTTCATGTATGCGAGTGCCGGATCTGAGGCCGAAACCCCGGACCTCTCCTTCTCTGACGGCGAAATGGCAGATCCGCGCAGATCTGACGGCGGAATCCCGGATCCGCGCTGATCTAATGGCGAAATGGCAAATCCGCGCAGATCTGACAGTGAAATGCCACGCTGGCGCCTTCGTCTGACTAACCTTAAACCAGGAAGATGCGGACTAGGAACACGTATACGACTTGGCTGCTGCTCGTGTAGGCTCGATCTGCATTTCACGTTGACCTAAACACTTGGGTAGCGGGACATTCGCGACGAACACATTCGTGTTCGTTTTTGCCCCGACACGAACACGAACGTGTTCGTGTTCGTCGCGGCTCGGGCACCCGCGACGAGATGAACACCGAACGTGTTCGGGCGAACACCGAACACGTTCGCCACGAACATTTGTAGCCAAGCGAACCGAACAGGTGTTCTTTTCCTTGCTCAACCCTAGTGAGGAGGGCGGGGAAGAGATACAAAATGCATGTATGTGTGTGCGCTTAATGTGGGTGTGTGACAAGTGGCTCATTCATTTTGAGAGCTCCTTGCTCCCTGTCTGTTTCTTTAGGGTTAAGTCAAACTTGGCTTCTGTTCTGTGTGACTTGTTGTTTCATGCGTGTCCACATGCAGGCCACAGGAGAGGAAGGTTCTCGGCAAGTTCACGAGCTCATGAATGGGCGGCATCTGCGATCAGTCAGCTGGCATGCGCTGATGCAATCATTGCAGGTGAGGTGCAATCATTGCAGGTGAGGTGCAATCATTGCAGGTGAGGTGCAATCATTGCAGGTGAGGTGCAATCATTGCAGGTGAGGTGCAATCATTACATGTGCGATTCAGGTGTGATGCAATCAATGAACGCAAACATTAGTTAATTTTGTACGTCACCATTCTTATCAAGAGCACTGTGTGCACGCACCCCACACAAATCTCACACAAGTGAATCCTCGCTCACCCCACACAAGTCTCTCTGTCCCGCTCTCCTCCTCCCCATCCTTCCCAGGCATACGACGATCGCCTGCGCCAAGCCTTCCAGGACCCCTCGTTACCATACCACCATCACCACCACCACCAGAACGCGTCACTCTTCCCACCAGAGGATGCAGCAGTACTCGAGGCATACCTCACCTGCCTGCACCAGGTGCTGCGCCACTCCCCTCCGCCCCTGCGCACGCGCCTCTTCTCCGATGCCTTCTTTGACTCGCTCTTCCGCCTGCTCCCCCACGCCGCCGTCCCCACCGCTCTCAAGGGCGCTCTGCGCTCCGCCATTGCTGCCTTCCTCGGCGCCCCCGCCACCGTCGCTGCTCTTACCGCCACAGCTGCTGCTGGCTCTGCTGCCGTGGCTGCAGGAGGGGTTGCTGGTGCTGCTGGGGGGGATGCTAGTGGTGGGGCAGCAGCAGGGGATCTGATGGCGATCGCGGCAGCTGCGGCGGGGCTGACGGGGGCGGCGGCGGCAGCGCTGGCAGCACGGACGTGGGCTCTGGAGGAGTTTTACGACCTGCCGCCCACAGCTTCTGCGACCCTGGAGGAGCAACAGGCATGTCATATGTGTGCGAGTGCATATGGTCGTCATGCTCCTCTGTGTGTGTGTGTGTGTGTGTGTGTGTGTGTGTGTGAGAGAGAGAGTGTGTGTGTGTGTGTGTGTGTGTGTGTGTGTGTGTGCACGCGTGCGCGCGCCTAGGTCATGCCCTCATGTGAGCCTGTGTGCGTGTATGGTCATGCCCTCATGTGAGTCTGTGTGCGTGTATGGTCATGCCCTCATGTGAGTCTGTGTGCGTGTATGGTCATGCCCTCATGTGAGTCTGTGTGCGGGTATGGTCATGCCCTCATGTGAGTCTGTGTGCGTGTATGGTCATGCCCTCATGTGAGTCTGTGTGCGTGTATGGTCATGCCCTCATGTGAGTCTGTGTGCGTGTATGGTCATGCCCTCATGTGAGTCTGTGTGTGTGTGGGCACTGGAAGAGTTTTACGACCTGCCGCCCTCAGCTTCGGGTGCTGCCTCGCCTGCTGCTCGCACCCGCCCATGGGGGGTGGAGCAGGTGAGAGTAGGGAGTTGTGTGTTTTGCGCGTTGCCTTGCAGACTCCCCAAACCACAAGGCCGCAAAGCAAACTGCTCCAAGTTGACCTCGCACGCATGTCTATGTCTTCCCTTCCCTGTCTGCACGGCGCACTATCCACTTCCAATCCAAGTATCCCACTTCCAATCCAAGTATCCCACTTCCAATCCAAGTATCCCACTTCCAATCCAAGTATCCCACTTCCAATCCAAGTATCCCACTTCCAATCCAAGTATCCCACTTCCAATCCAAGTATCCCACTTCCAATCCAAGTATCCCACTTCCAATCCAAGTATCCCACTTCCAATCCAAGTATCCCACTTCCAATCCAAGTATCTCTACTTGTCCCAGCGTGCCGCTTGTGCGTCGTCGACTGCCCAGCGTCCACCCCCCTCCATTGGTCCAGTGTCTGTCGCCTGCCCTGCCCCTTGTGCACGTGTGTCGCCCCCCCTCAGCGATGAGGCGAGGTGGAGGCGAGGGTGGGGTGGGGGAATACCCCTCACTGTGCGTGCTGTGCTGCCATGCCCCTCTCATTGCATCGCGTCTGTGATGCTGTGATGTGACCCCACCCCATCTCTAGCAGCTTAAGCCACGCTGCCCCCTATCTGTCTCGGTCTGTGCAGCGCCCCTCTACAGTGCCGTACGACATGGGTGGGAATGGAGATTGGCGAGGGGGAGGTGAGGGTGGAGGGGCTCCCCTCCCTGCACGTGCTGCCATGCTGTGACCCGTTCCTCGAGCCTTGTGCCACGCCATGCCCCACCCCCTCTCCCTGCTCTCCAGCGCCCCTCCACAGCGCCATACGACATGGGCATGGAGCTGAGCGAGGTGGAGGCGAGGGTGGAGGAGTATCCCTCAACGCTCTCCTACCTGCGCCTGCACAACACACTGCTCGCCCTCGACCCGCTCTCCCGCCCCGCCAGGTCTCTCACTCACTGCGTGTTGCATACTGAATGGTCATGATGCATACTGAATGGGCATGGTGCATGCTGAATGGTCATGGTGCATGCTGAATGGTCATGGTGCATGTGGTGCCAACTTTCGAGTCAACTCATTCCATCCTCTTTCTAAACTTGACTCTAGTTGCACAACTTCCCTTATTTTCCGTTTGTTGCTTGGCTGGTTATTGGTTTCTTCTGTCTGCCTGCCATTGTTTGTGAGACCAATTTCCAGGTGCTGTCGACCCATGGATAGATCACCAATCCCATGGATAGATCACCAATCCCATGGATAGATCACCAATCCCATGGATAGATCACCAATCCCATGGATAGATCACCAATCCCATGGATAGATCACCAATCCCATGGATAGATCACCAATCCCATGGATAGATCACCAATCCCATGGATAGATCACCAATCCCATGGATAGATCACCAATCCCATGGATAGATCACCAATCCCATGGATAGATCACCAATCCCATGGATAGATCACCAATCCCATGGATAGATCACCAATCCCATGGATAGATCACCAATCCCATGGATAGATCACCAATCCCATGGATAGATCACCAATCCCATGGATAGATCACCAATCCCATGGATAGATCACCAATCCCATGGATAGATCACCAATCCCATGGATAGATCACCAATCCCATGGATAGATCACCAATCCCATGGATAGATCACCAATCCCATGGATAGATCACCAATCCCATGGATAGATCACCAATCCCATGGATAGATCACCAATCCCACGCATAGATCACCAATCCCTTACCTGCCAACTTCAGCTGAACCCCTTCACTTCCCTTACAATCTTTCCCACCCCTTTCACAGGTTCCTCGACTACTTCAAGTTCGTTACCAGCAGTGTGTTTGTGCCGTACACGCGCCGCGTCTATGCAAAGGCAGACGAGATGTGGCAGCTGCTGCTCGCCTCGCTCTCCCTCTTCCACCTCTCCCTCCTCCTCCTGCACCGCACCCCCCTCCCCTCCGCTCCGCCACTCGCCGCGCTCTCTGCTGCTTCCTCCTCCTCGGCCAGTGGGCTGCTGCCAGCTGGCGCTACACCGGGGCTGCTGCTGATGAAGGTGGGTGGGTTGGACCGTAGGGGAGGCAGGCAGGCCATGTGTGCAGCTCACACCCACACCAGTTTGCGCTGCTTTCGCCTGCACTGCACTGCACTGCACTGCACTGCACTGCACTGCACTGCACCGCACTGCACTGCACTGCACTGCACTGCCTGCGCCACTAAACCAGTAACCCACACCTTCATCCCCACCACTTGCAACCCACACCTTCATCCCCACCACTTGCAACCCACACCTTCATCCCCACCACTTGCAACCCACACCTTCATCCCCACCACTTGCAACCCACACCTTCATCCCCACCACTTGCAACCCACACCTTCATCCCCACCACTTGCAACCCACACCTTCATCCCCACCACTTGCAACCCACACCTTCATCCCCACCACTTGCAACCCACACCTTCATCCCCACCACTTGCAACCCACACCTTCATCCCCACCACTTGCAACCCACACCTTCATCCCCACCACTTGCAACCCACACCTTCATCCCCACCACTTGCAACCCACACCTTCATCCCCACCACTTGCAACCCACACCTTCATCCCCACCACTTGCAACCCACACCTTCATCCCCACCACTTGCAACCCAGCCCCGCTAGAGCCCACTGCTGCCCCTTGCCCGCCCCGCATTTCCCCCTCCCCCTCCTCTTCTCCTGTCCCCTGCTCTCCCCTTTCCACCTCCCTTTTTCCCCTCCCCCCCCCCCCCCTCCCCTCGCCCCTCTCCCGTCTTCCCATTACCCGTTTCCCTTACACCGCCGAGCAGGACTTCCTGTCAGCAGGCCCGGCGTTGCGAAACATCATTGCCATCATCTCAGCGGGCCCAGATTCTCTCCTAGAGGAGCGAGCCATGCGCCCCCAGGCGCTCTCATTCGCCTTAGAAGACACCGTCGCCGCCTGCCTGCGCCTGCTGCTGCTCGCGCTCTCCCTCGACCAATCGCTGGCTGACACCTGGCAGCCCGCTGTGCGCCCGCTGCACCTCGTGCTGGCGGAGGACGTGGCGCTCGTGACAGCTGTCATGTCCTTCGTGCGCTACCAGCCGTCGGATGCCATCCAACGGTCGGCGATCGAGCTCACGAGCGTCTTCAGGTGAATTCTTTGGTATCGAGTGAAGTGAATGGGAGCCTGGCTCACGTCTTCGTGTGATTGTTTCACAGTTGAATCGCAACCTTCTGGTGCAATTACAACAGTCGTAAGTAGAAGCGATTGTTGTGGGCCAGTAGAAGCGCGTTGTGTTCCACTCCACTAGTGCAGGCAAGCTTTCTGGACGGCCCATGTTTTGTGTTGAGGCACAAGACCAGAGGAAGTGACAGCCTGGCCTGGCCTGGCCTGGCCTGGCTTGACCTGGCTGCGGGTAGCCATGGATTGTGTGTGCGGCCCGTTGGAGGCCAGCGATGATCAGATCAGATCAGATCAGATCAGATCAGATCATGTGCACAGGTGGCTTCTCAGGTGTTTTGCCAAGTGGTTTCTACTCAGCCAGGATGGGGATCGTTTTCCTGTTTAGCCTTCTGCCTCCATCCCCTGCCTATCCCCTGCGTATCCCCTGCCTATCCCCTGCCTATCCCCTGCCTATCCCCTGCCTATCCCCTGCCTATCCCCTGCCTATCCCCTGCCTATCCCCTGCCTATCCCCTGCCTATCCCCTGCCTATCCCCTGCCTATCCCCTGCCTATCCCCTGCCTATCCCCTGCCTATCCCCTGCCTATCCCCTGCCTATCCCCTGCCTATCCCCTGCCTATCCCCTGCCTATCCCCTGCCTATCCCCTGCCTATCCCCTGCCTATCCCCTGCCTATCCCCTGCGTAATCTCCTGCCTTACCTCCTGCCTCCATCCATCCCTCTTTTTGCCTCTGCCACATACAGTGCGCGCGGCGTGCCACTTGTCGCGATGGCATTGGAGGTGGGCATGGTGCAGCGATTGGTGGAGGATTTCGCAGAGTGTCTTGACGTCAGCGCCAGCAGTGTGACTGTAGAGGGCGCTGCTGCTGATGGTGGCGATGGTGGTGTGACTGTGGATGGTGGAGAGGAGGAAGGTGGGGAGGAGGGCAGCGAGCCGACAGACTGCGCCACCCTCATTCTCCAGGTGAGCGCAGCGGGGACTGTCCTCAATGTATGGCAGCACCGTACCAAGGTGGACAAGACAAGCGGTTCTCTGGCTTTCACTTGAATATCTTTGTCCATTGTTCTTCTCTTCTGTTCTGTGCAATGCACCTGCTATGCTTACATTCCTCTCTGTTTACATTTCGCTGCTCGCAGCTACTGCTGGCTGTCGTTGCTACGCACGCAAGCAGCACCCCACGCTCTGCATGAGCACGGCCCTTGCTGCCTGTTGCCTACTGAGGCGACTCAAAAGTCACCTATTCTCCCTACTTTGGTCTCCTCTCTCCCCTCACAGTTACTGCTGGCGTCACTAAGGAGGCAGCCCCCCACACTGGCGCACATGCTGCTCGGGTTTGACGTCGACAGGCCTCTTGCTGCCTCTGTGCTGCAGCCCAACCGGCGGTTCAGGTGGGGAGTGCGGACAGTGAGGTGAGGTGAGGTGAGGTGAGGTGAGGTGAGGTGAGGTGAGGTGAGGTGGCGCTGTGTTGTCCTGTTGTTGAGTTCTCAAGTCTGCAAGTTTAAATAGACCAGTCCTTTTCGTTTTCTGCGAGGCGTGTGCTGCAGCAGCCAACCTATGCCATCAAACCCACTGTGCACCCGGCTCCTTTCCTTCTCCAACAGTACCTCGTGCTAAGTGCTTTTGCCCGTGCACCAACTCTTACTTACATTATACGAACAAACCCTCCTCCGCTTCCCCTCCCTGTCTTTCCCCCTTCTCCCCCTCCACTCCGCCCCCAATTCCCCCTATCCACTTCCCCCACCAGCGCCCTCCGCATTCTCCTCGATCTCGTGCTCTCCACAGGAGCAGACGGCGACGCCGACGCCGACACCGACGCCGACCAATCAGACGCCGCCAGCCCACCACGTGTCACCCTGCGGTTGGTGCGCCTGCGTGAGATGAGCGTGCGAGTGCTCTACCACCTGGCAGCAGACCCCGCCACGTCAGCGCCCACTGCAGTGCTGCTGCAGGCGAAGCCGCTGAGCTTCTTTGCTCCGCTGCTCTCCTCTGCCCTTAAAGCGCCACTCCCTCGCCGCAGCAGCCGCCCCAGTCACCGCGTGGCGGCCCTGCATGAGGTGAGGTGTGGTGGATGGGGTGAGTGAGCTGTGCTGTGCTGCATGACTGCCAAACCTAAGGGCGGCTTTAGGTGCTCGTGAGGTGGGTTCTTGTGACAGGCCTGTGAGCGGCCTGTGAGCGGCCTGTGAGAGGCCTGTGAGCGGCCTGTGAGCGGCCTGTGAGCGGCCTGTGAGCGGCCTGTGAGCGGCCTGTGAGCGGCCTGTGAGAGACCTGTGAAAGGCCATCCAGTCCGCTTACAGGGCCATGGGCCTGGATGGATGTTTGTGCCCTCGTGGTGATTGTGAAGGCATGCACATGTACCTTGCATACACATGTACCTTGCATACACATGTACCTTGCATACACATGTACCTTGCATACACATGTACCTTGCATACACATGTACCTTGCATACACATGTACCTTGCATACACATGTACCTTGCATACACATGTACCTTGCATACACATGTACCTTGCATACACATGTACCTTGCATACACATGTACCTTGCATACACATGTACCTTGCATACACATGTACCTTGCATACACATGTACCTTGCATACACATGTACCTTGCATACACATGTACCTTGCATACACATGTACCTTGCATACACATGTACCTTGCATGCACATGCACGCATGGTTGTTCTAGCCCATGAAGAATCTGTTCTGTTGTGTGTGTGCTATGTGCTTTCCCAAGGCAGCAGCATCGTATTCTCCTCATGAATCACTGTGCATGTGAATCGCTGGTATTCCCAATCTCTCCCTGGCTACCCCTTACTCATATTCCACTGCAAAACACCTGCCACCCCTCTCACTCACCCATCGCCCCACTGATGCCCCTCCCTGCCCCACACCACAGCGAGCGTGGCTGCTGAAGCTGCTGGCGCTGGCCGTCCACACAACGCCCCCTGCTGCACATAACAAAACCACAAGCACCACCACTCCCACCACGCCCCACCCCGCCCCTCTCTCCCCCATGTCACCCATGTGCCCCTCTCTCCCCCATGTCACCCATGTGCCCCTCTCTCCCCCATGTCACCCATGTGCCCCTCTCTCCCCCATGTCACCCATGTGCCCCTCTCTCCCCCATGTCACCCATGTGCCCCTCTCTCCCCCATGTCACCCATGTGCCCCTCTCTCCCCCATGTCACCCATGTGCCCCTCTCTCCCCCATGTCACCCATGTGCCCCTCTCTCCCCCATGTCACCCATGTGCCCCTCTCTCCCCCATGTCACCCATGTGCCCCTCTCTCCCCCATGTCACCCATGTGCCCCTCTCTCCCCCATGTCACCCATGTGCCCCTCTCTCCCCCATGTCACCCATGTGCCCCTCTCTCCCCCATGTCACCCATGTGCCCCTCTCTCCCCCATGTCCCTCCCTGCAGCGCGCGTGGCTGCTGAAGCTACTCGCCCTGGCCCTGCACACAACGCCCCCTGCCCCGCACGACCACAAGCACCACCACTCCCACCACGCCGCCCATTCCGCCACCGCCGGGCGGCAACTGGAGATTTGCCTGCAGATTCTGTCGGCACTGTTCATGGCGGACGGGGGCGTGGGAGGGGCGGAGGAAGGGGAAGGCGGGGATGGGGGGAGTGGTACGCTGGTGGTGTGGGGAGGAGGGGAGCAGCAGGCGGAGGGTGTGAGGGGAGGCGTGCTGGGGGTGAGTCCCATCCCAATAGGCATGAGCAAGACTCACAGCAAGCAGTGGTGTCAATCAATGGGCATCACCACTGGGCTGGGCGAGGCTGAAACTTCTCATTCTCTTCTAATGAATCGGGCTGCCTGTTTGTGTTGCTCGCGCCTCGCCTCTTGTTCAAACTCGGTCTAAAAACAGCCGCTCACGGCCTCTCACACCTATTTGCAGTGCTATGGCACCTCGAGCCCTTGTCTTGTCCCTGTGCCACATACATGCTGCTCGCGTCGTCCTTTTTGCCCTCCTGCACTCCCCCCCACCCCTCCACTCCTTCACACCCCCCACCCCTCCACTCCTTCACACCCCCCACCCCTCCACTCCTGCACGCGCCCCTCTCAGGCGACTCAGCTATTGGAGTTGTTTCTCTTCGCCCTGCCAGACGTCTCTCCCAAGTTCCCTCCGCACATTGCTGCCGTGCACCAGCAGCTGCAGGTGAGCGTCTGAGCTGATCGTAACTGCAGCTGCAGGTGAGGAAGCACCAGCAGCTGCAGGTGAGCTCCCTCTTGGTGGGCGCTGCAGCACCAATGGCAGCAGAGTTCTTCCTTCCTTGTGCCCTCCCTCACTCGCCCCTCGCCACCTTCTCTTCTCCCTTATCGCCTCCGTGTCACCTGAGGGATAACCCACGGCATGGCCCTCACGTCCCCACAAACCCCCTCCCCTCACCCCACTCCTCCACTTCTACGGCCCCCACTCTTCCCTTGTCTCCTCCTCGGTGCAGCTGGAGGAGCTGCTGGGGACGGCAGCAGGGGTGGCGGAGGGGGGAGTGTTTGAAGTGAATGAGAGGGGCGATCGGCTCGTGGACCTGCGTGCGCTCTCACACATCCTTACTCAGGTGGGGGCTGGTGTCCTTGATACTCGTTTTCGTGCTCTCTGATATTGTCACTCAGCACTCCTTTCCCACCCTCGTTTTCCTCACACACTCACTCCTCTCACTTTCATTCTTTTGCCGATTTCCCCCTACTTGAACATCTTTTTTTTTTATTTATTACTTTGATATCGTATTCTCTCCCAACCTCCTTGGCAATCAACCCGTCTTTCATGCATGGCATGGCATGCGTTCCGACATGACACGGCTTGAATTGGAATTCAGAGGTTCGCCCTGCTTGAAGCACAGCGAGGTCCGGGAGCACCGTTCCTGCCAGGCCCGAACCTGGGGGTGGCTGGCTCGGCAGCAGGTTCGGCAGAGGTGCGGCAGGAGGCAGTGAGGGAGGCGTTGAGGTTTGTGTGGCAGCGGAACCGAGTGGAGGAGGAGGCAGCAGCACAACAGCACGTGGCTCTGGCATGGGCTCAGCTGCTGCAGATGGCTCTGTCCAGAAGATTTGAACTGCTGCCAGCACATGCCAGGCTGGAAGCCTTGCTGCAGTAAGTTGGGGTTTAGGCGAGGCTTTTTTTGTTTTAAGGGCTTTGGAAGGAGGCAGCAGCTCAGCAGCACGTGGCTCTGGCTTGGGCTCAGCTGCTGCAGTGCAGATGAGATGAGATGGCATACAATTCAATCTGCTGCTACCACATGCCAGGCTGGAAGCATTGCTGCAGTGAGTTTGGAGTCTAGTTGCCATATCTGCCTCTCCCACTCTCCTTCCTCTGGTTTCAAAAAGCTAATATGAGAAAAACAAGAAACTCGCAATCAGGCATAGGTACTTTTTCAAATGAATTCAGTGTTTCTCCGAAAAGTTTCTCGTCTGTTTTTTTCTGCCGATGGCACTCCCTTCCCAACGTGTGTATCATGATGCATGTCCCTTCCACTGTTCGCCCACCCCATTCGCGCTCCCCCCCTGCAGGCTGCTCTCAGCGTGTCTGAGAGCCATCGCTGCGCCACACATTCCCCTCTCCCTCGCCAAGCCCATCTCGCAGGTAGTCATTGCCGTGTGATGTGATCTACTGCCGTGTGATGTGATCTACTGCCGTGTGATGTGATCTACTGCCGTGTGATGTGATCTACTACCATGTGATCTACTGCCATGTGACATTGTGCATTTTCCCTGGCAGCCATGCCCTTGCCTTAGATGCTGCAGTCTGCAGCTCCATCTTTCCCCATTTCCTCCTCACCTCATGTTGCCATCGCGGTGCTTGTCTGCTCTGCACTAGCATCTCTCTGCCCTCACGCCGCTCACATGCCACGTTGCTCACATGCCACGTTGCTCACATGCCACGTTGCTCACATGCCACGTTGCTCACATGCCACGTTGCTCACATGCCACGTTGCTCACATGCCACGTTGCTCACATGCCACGTTGCTCACATGCCACGTTGCTCACATGCCACGTTGCTCACATGCCACGTTGCTCACATGCCACGTTGCTCACATGCGACGTTGCTCACATGCCACGTTGCTCACATGCCACGTTGCTCACATGCCACGTTGCTCACATGCCACGTTGCTCACATGCCACGTTGCTCACATGCCACGTTGCTCACATGCCACGTTGCTCACATGCCACGTTGCTCACATGCCACGTTGCTCACATGCCACGTTGCTCACATGCCACGTTGCTCACATGCCACGTTGCTCACATGCCACGTTGCTCACATGCCACGTTGCTCACATGCCACGTTGCTCCATGCCACGTTGCTCCATGCCACGTTGCTCACATGCCACGTTGCTCACATGCCACGTTGCTCACATGCCACGTTGCTCACATGCCACGTTGCTCACATGCCACGTTGCTCACATGCCACGTTGCTCACATGCCACGTTGCTCACATGCCACGTTGCTCACATGCCACGTTGCTCACATGCCACGTTGCTCACATGCCACGTTGCTCACATGCCACGTTGCTCACATGCCACGTTGCTCCATCACTTTACTTCACTTCACCTTCTCTTCCCTCTGCTCCTTTCGCCCCAGGTCGTCCTAGTTGCATTCCTCCACCTGCAGCACCTCTCCTCCTCCTCCCCCACGTCCTCCTCTTGGTGGCTGGCAGCTCTAGCAGCTCTCCGCCAGCGTGCCACACGTCGTTCACATGCCATGCTCTTCAACTTCTTCACCTCATCTTCTCTCCCCTGTGCTCCTTCTCTCTCCTCCACTCCTCCTCGCCCCAGGTGGTCCTAGTGGCGTTCCTGCACTGCACCTGCAGCACCTCTCCGCCTCCACTCCGCTCACATGCCTCTTTCTCTTCTCCCTCTGCTTCCACTTCCCTCCTTTGCTCTCCCCTCCGCTCCTCCTCTCCCCAGGTCGTTCTAGTGGCGTTCCTGCAGCTGCAGCACCTCTCCTCCTCCTCCCCCACCTCCTCCTCCGATGCACCCTCCTCTGACGATGCGGGCGAGGTGACGTGGAGCGACGTGATTGGCCACTCCTCCCTCTCCGATGCAAGCAACAAGGAGGGGCTAGGGGGCGGCGCAAGGGGGGCAGGGATTGGGGGGGCGAGGGCGAGGGGGCAGGTGTCACTGGCGGAGAGCACGGGGCTGCTGAGGGACCTGCTGGGCGCTCTCATGCGGAAAGACTCCTCTGATAGCCTCAGAAAGAGGTGAGTGGCCGGCAGGAGGAGGTGAGTGGGCGGCAGGAGGAGGTGAGTGGGCGGCAGGAGGAGGTGAGTGGGCGGCAGGAGGAGGTGAGAGCAGGTGGGAGGGTGTGCCGCTCATCCTGGTGGTTCATCTACTGCACCTCCCTCCACCTCACTGCGCCTCATGTGATGATGAGATCACCTCACCCTCACTCTCATTCACTCTCCAGTGTCCCTTTCTCCTCGTCACCCATCTCACCCTCTCTCTCACCCCTACCTCCAACTCTTTGATCCCTCTTGCATCATCCTCGTCCTTCGCCATCCTTCCATCGATCGCCACCCTCTCCCCTTTCTCCCCCCCCCCTTCCCCCTCTTCCCCCCCGGCTTTTCCACCCTCCTCCCATCCCTTCGCCCCCCCCCTCCAGGCTGTACACGTCACTCCTCACCTTCCTCGCCATCTGTGCGCGCCGCTTCCGCAGTGCTGACGTGGACATTTCGCCAGCTGTCATGGCGCTCATTCTCAGGGAGCTCCCCGGCGAGGAGACTTCCTCCGACCGCTCCCTGGATATGGTATGACTTCCTCCGACCGCTCCCTGGATATGGTATGTCTTCCTCCGACCGCTCCCTGGATATGGTATGTCTTCCTCTGACCGCTCCCTGGATATGGTATGTCTTCCTCCGACCGCTCCCTGGATATGGTATGTCTATGATGGGTTGACCAGGTTGGGGCGGGGGAGAGGGGAAACCTCCCTGGGTACAAGACAAGGGGACGGAGAGGGCAGGGGCAGTGGGGAGGAGGGGCTTTGAGACGTCCTCTGACTGCTCCCTGGACATGGTGGGTGCTGGTGGGAGGCAGGGGGAGGGGGGGGGCTGAGGGCATTTTACCCTGTGCCTGTGCCTGTGGTCGCGCGTGCTGTGCTGGGGGCTCGGGCTCGGGGGAAGAGTGGCGTGGAGAGGTGTGGGGGAAAGAAAGGGAAGATAATCTATCGGACTGCTTTCTGGATATGTTGTGTGTTGGGAGCCGGGGTGGGGGTTTGAGGTGAGAGGGAGGAGGGTAAAGGGCTCTCTCTGACTGCTTCCTGGATGTGTTGCGCCTGCGCTGCGCTGTCCATCTCTCTCGCTGCCACCATACCTTTCTCTTATCAACACAAGCGCAGCCCCTCCCTGCCTCCCTCCATTTTCCTTTCTTTTCATCACACGTGCAGCCAGACATGCATTTAGCTGCTGAGTCGACTCGAAAGACATGCATTTTGTTGCTGCCGCTCAACCCCCTGAAAAGATCACTCGTTTCTCGACTCTAAAGTGCTCCCTCCATCCTCCTGTCCGCTTCTCCTCACCCCCTGCCCTCCCACTTCCCTGTCAGTTGGAGCGGCAGCGCAGGGAGATGCAGCGGGCCACACATGCCCTCCTCTCGCCCCACTTGCCCGCCCTCATCCGCACTCTCTCCCATGACGCCTCCTCCTCCCCCTCCCCCCTCACTCGCTCCCTCGCACTCGCCGCCCTCTCCTCCCTCCTCTCCCACTCCGCCGACCCAACCGCTGCTTCCGCCAGCCTGGCGCCGACCAATGGCATCGCAACAGCTGGACGGGACCACCAAAGCATCTTTGCGCAATCTCTGGGCGGCGGGCAGAATCAGAATCTGCCGATTGGATTCGGGCGGCTGCCGGATTTGGCACCAGGGATGACTTCACAGCTGGCAGTGGCGTCCACGTCAGCAGCGGCTGTGCTGAGTCAGATGCAGGCGCATGGGATGGTGCAGGCGTGCATAGCTGACATCAGCAAGGGGATCTCAGAGGTGGGAGGGGTGGCATGGCATGGCATGGCATGGCATGGCATGGCATGGCATGGCATGGCATGTGACATATGTGAATCTGAATGAACTGAAACCAAATCTACATCTACTGATACCATTCAACTCGATTCAGCATCTTGTTTTAAGTACCTTCTGCACAAATTTTTCCCCTGGGGCCTCAGTGCAGTTCTTGCTTGCAGTTCCCTGATCCTGGGCTGTGTATGTTACGTACACCCTCGTCTTTCCCCTGTGCCACGCTAACACACTCTCCCCTCCCTCCCCCCCCCCCCCCCCCCTCGCCCCCCCCCCCCCTCCAAACCCCTTTCAATTCCCATCTCAACAGGTGCTGCTGCTCCCCTCGGCCGACGCCCAGCGTCAGGCGTTCGTGACGGAGGCGCGCCTCTCACTGCTGCTCTCAATCGCAGCTTCTACGGGGCGTCAGGGGCTGCTGCTGCTGCTCAACGCCGGCTTCCTCCGCGCCATGGCCGCATGCCCCTCGCTTGACGCGCCCGTCTCGGTGAGCACCCCTGCCCTGCCCTGCCCTGCCATGCCCTGGCCTGCCCTGCCCTGCCCTGCCCTGCCCTGCCCTGCCCTGCCCTGCCCTGCCCTGCCTTGCCTGTCGATAGCACTGTTCACGGGCCGGCAGGGGCTGCTGCTCAACGCGGGGTTCCTCCCCGCCATGGCCGCCTGCCCCTCGCTCCATGCCCCTGTTTCTGTGAGTCCTGCCCCTGCACCAGACCACACCGCACCGAACTGCACCGCACTGCGCTGCACTGCACTGCTCTGCACCGCATTGCACTTCGTTCAGTCACATGACATGGCGTGCTGCACGTTGCCATTGTACTGGGCAGACTTATTTCAGCAGTTGATTCTTGAATTTGAAAAATTCTGGTGAAGTCGTCCTATGCGTGATGCTCATGTGGCTTGCTGCTTGTGATTGTTCTGCCTGTGATTGTTCTGCCTGTGATTGTTCTGCCTGTGATTGTTCTGCCTGTGATTGTTCTGCCTGTGATTGTTCTGCCTGTGATTGTTCTGCCTGTGATTGTTCTGCCTGTGATTGTTCTGCCTGTGATTGTTCTGCCTGTGATTGTTCTGCCTGTGATTGTTCTGCCTGTGATTGTTCTGCCTGTGATTGTTCTGCCTGTGATTGTTCTGCCTGTGATTGTTCTGCCTGTGATTGTTCTGCCTGTGATTGTTCTGCCTGTGATTGTTCTGCCTGTGATTGTTCTGCCTGTGATTGTTCTGCCTGTGATTGTTCTGCCTGTCTCATGCCATGCCAAAACATCACTTCGCATGTGACGTTGATTGGTGGAGCCAAATTCTGTGATCCATGTTTGAACCATTCTAGGTGTCTGAAACTGGATTCTTTAATTTCTCCACTGTCACTCCTTCTCCACTGTCACTCCTTCTCCACTGTCACTCCTTCTCCACTGTCACTCCTTCTCCACTGTCACTCCTTCTCCACTGTCACTCCTTCTCCACTGTCACTCCTTCTCCACTGTCACTCCTTCTCCACTGTCACTCCTTCTCCACTGTCACTCCTTCTCCACTGTCACTCCTTCTCCACTGTCACTCCTTCTCCACTGTCACTCCTTCTCCACTGTCACTCCTTCTCCACTGTCACTCCTTCTCCACTGTCACTCCTTCTCCACTGTCACTCCTTCTCCACTGTCACTCCTTCTCCACTGTCACTCCTTCTCCACTGTCACTCCTTCTCCACTGTCACTCCTTCTCCACTGTCACTCCTTTTTCACTGTTACTACTCCTGCCTATCCCGCTCCCTGCAACACCTCACCACCCTGACGAACCCCAATGGTCAGGAATCCACCCACCTCACGCCACCCCGGCGGCTCTCATCTCCAAACTCCCCTTCTTACTTTCTGCATTCTGAAAACCCCCTCTTTCCTTCTTTTGCTTCAACAATTCACCCCCCACCCACCAGGAGTCATCCTACCTCGCGCCACAACCAGTGGGTCTCTCATCGCTGGACGTCCCATCCGAGTCGCTCTGCTTCGCGCACCTCGTGGCCCCGGTGCTGCGCCTGCTGCTCGCTCTCTCCACCCTCGCCCCACCTGACGCCTCGCTCTCGCCGCACGCAGCACCTTCAGATGCCACTGTGAGTCCCTCTGCTCTGCTTCACGCACCTCGTTGCTCCCGTGCTGTGCCTCGCACTCTACACCTTCGCCCCACCTGATGCCTCGCTCTCGCCACACGCAGCACCTTCAGATGCCACTGTGAGTAGCATGTTCCTGCCCATAGCCCCTCAGATTCGACTCAGTTCATTTAGATTCGACTCAGTTCATTTAGATTCGACTCAGTTCATTTAGATTCGACTCAGTTCATTTAGATTCGACTCAGTTCATTTAGATTCGACTCAGTTCATTTAGATTCGACTCAGTTCATTTAGATTCGACTCAGTTCATTTAGATTCGACTCAGTTCATTTAGATTCGACTCAGTTCATGTGGATTCTGAATGGGGGACATGGTGAGACGCCTCAAGAATCCTTCACATGCTCCTTCCTGCAATAAATGACGGTGTCTCACTCCCCGTGTCCCTACCCACACAGTCCAAGGCGGGCGTGGCATCACAGTTGCTGCACTTCGCCCTGCACCTAGACCCCATGCTCTCCCACTCGGCCCCCCTAGCACCTTTCTCCCCCCCCCCCCCCCCCCCCCCCCCCCCTCCTCTTGCCTCTTGCCCCTCTGCCACTTTGGTCCTCCACACAGTCGAAAGCGGACGTGGCATCGCAGCTGCTGCACTTCGCCGTCCACCACGAGGCCATGCTCTCGCGTCTGCTGGAGGACCGCTCGCCCGCCTGCAACCCCACCGACCTGCTGCTGCTCTCCCTCTCCACCGCCTTCCTCTCCCGAGTGGGTTCTATTCTCCGTGCTAAGAAGCAAGCAACCATAACTAAGGGTTACCTGCCATGCCTCGTCACTCCCATCTCCATCACATCCTCCCACCCAAGTAACATGAAATGCTTATGGGGTTTAAACGTGAGTGATGGTCGTCGTCCTCTCTCATCCCCCTTTCTTCCCTCTCTCCCTCTGCTACTCCCTCCGCTTCTTTGGGGATGGAAAGACTTCTTTCTCTCTCCCTGTCACCTTTCAACTCCTATCCATTCCCACTCCCTTCCCTCCCTCTCTCCTTGCCGCTACTCCAGACCTTTCTGTGGGCCAATCCCTCCCAGTTGGAGGGGCTGCGCAGCCTGATGCTTGGGTCAGCAGCGGCGTGCAGCGTGGGTGATGATGAGAGCCGTGTGAATGATGCACTTTCGTTCCCCATCCCTCCCTCTCTCCCTCTCACCCTCTCTGCTGTAGGCCCTTCTCTGGGCCAACCCCTCCCAGCTGGAGGGGCTGCGGGGCCTCATGCTGCGCGCAGCAGCGGCGTACAGCGTGGGCGACGGGGAGAGCCGTGTGAAGTACGTGCGGCAACGCGTGGCCAGAGAGGAGGAGGACCGCGCAGGGGAGATTGGCGGGATCTCGCTCTCGCTGCTCGTGCCAGAGGTGAGGATTGGGGCGACTTAACACTTTGAGAATATCCGGCAGCATGTGGCTAGAGAGGAGGACCGCGCAGGGAAGATTGCGGGGATCTTGCTCTTGCTCCCTCTTGCCCCCTCAACCCCTCCACCCCACCACGCAATCTGAGTTGCAGAAAGAGCATGCAATGGTGGGCAGGAATGGAGGGAGTGTTGCAATTCAGCCTCCTCACCCATCCTTCCACTACCACTCCCTTCCCGATCTCTCACATGTTCTCCCACCTTCTCGTCCACTTATACCCCCATCCGCTCGCATGCCTGGCAGGAGGAGCATGCAATGGAGGAGGGAGTGGTGAGAGTGAGAGCCAACCTCATGTCGTACCTGCGCTCCCTCGTCGCCTTCAAAGGCCTCCTGCTGCCCGCCGTCTCCAAGCACCAGGTGATTCGCCATGCTGCCTCCAAGCACCAGGTGATTTGCCTGTTGTGTTTGACTAATGAGCCAAGAGGCTCTATAATACAAGCATGCAAGAAGGGAAGAGTGGAAGAGATCTAACCCTATTGGCCACTAAGTTGGCCAATGGGTGAGTTGCCTTGTGGAGCACGCAACCCCACAATGTAGCTAGGTTGGGATTGGTTGGTGTAAGGACCAAAAGGTTGGCAAGTGCTAACCAAGGACCATGACCAAACCCAATCTTGACCAACCACAAAGTGTGGTTGGAGTGTACACCCAACCCCTCAATAACATTAATGACTATACCTAGTCTAGCCTATGAATGTTGTATAAGATATACATTTACAACATTGCCATGCCGCCTCCAAGCACCAGATGATTCGCCATGCTGCCTCCAAGCACCAGGTGATTCGCCAGGTGCCTGCCAGCATCTCTTATAGCATCCATCTGCCACCCTCACCATGTCTGCTGAAATGATATGAAACCATTCGTTTCATGCCATACCCACAACGCAATCTTTATGCCCCACTGTCTATCGTTTCTTAACGTTCCCACTCTCTCTGCTCTTCTCCCCAAACTCTCTCCACTGCCACGTGGCAGCATCAGGGCCCCACATTGAGTCTTTTATCAGATCTGCTCCGTCAGATGGTGATTGACCTGCAAGCAGCTGTGGAGGCCCGTGGTACCGCACTCACCAAGGTGTGTGTGCGCCTCTCACTCTTCAGTGCCACACAGCAGCCCACAGCACCGCACTGCACTGCTATGTTGGCAAATATGTGTTTCGCGTATTATACGCCATCATATAATTCGCTGGCGTTTATACGCAATACGTGACAGGACTATTTCTAGAAATACGTGAGATGCTGTGGTTTCGGGCAGTATAAAAATTGCCGGGCAGGAAAATAAAACTTTTCCACGGGGGAGGAGGGGAAGGCAAGACACGTCTTCCCCTCCCAAGTTTGAGTTCCATTAAATATCCACGACAATTCCTACGGCTATCAACGAGAAGGCATAGAGTTTGAGGTGAGTTTGGTGAAATGCGAACGACTTGCGGAGAGGAAGCGTCTCGACAACTATAAACCTGGAGGTGGGTAGAACTCGTAAAGAGGGGCGAACCTGGAGCTTGGAGAATGAGCTGCAGGACAAAGAGAGGTTCGACAGGTTGCTCACGAGGATGATAGGAGCGATACAGGAAGGATTGGAGGAAACGAAGGAGGCTAGGGGGTGAGTGATGCTTAGGTGTCACTTTTGTCAGTGGAAGCTGCGAGGCTGAAGAAGGCGGTTGAGGACGCTGAAAGGAATGTTGAAGAAACAAACGAGCAATAAACGGCCAAGATGTGTCGCATTTGCTCGCTTATTTCTTCAACATTCCTTCCAGCATCCTCAACCGCCTTCTTCAGCCTCGCAGCTTCCATTGTCAAAAGTGACACCTACCTGAGCATCAGTCACCTCCTTAGCCTCCTTCGCTTCCTCCTATCCTTCCTATATCGCTTCTATCGTCCTCTTCAGCAGCTTGTCGAGCCATTCTTTGTCCCGCAACTCATTCTCCAAGCTCCACATCTGGTTTCCTAAATTCGATCTTTTTTTTTTACGGGCGGCCCGAGCGTATTTCGGCGTTATCAGCGCATATTGTATATTCCGTATAAACGCTTGCATTTGTACGCGATATGTCCCCTCCTCCACAGCGTATTTGCCAACATAGTACTGCACCTCACAGCACTGGAGCCCTGCTCCATCAGATTGTGATTGACCTACAGGCAGAATGTGGAGGCCCTGTGAGGCTGCACTCACCAAGACAGTACCGGATCGCACAGCTCTACACCACTCCACACCGTATCCTACTTGTTCGATTCCCCACGGAAGCGCTCCATGTTGGCAACATTCAAAATGGTGGTAGTGAGAATCTTCTCAACGCACAAACGTCCTCTGCCTCCTATTCCTCTTTCCTGCCCCATGATACCGTATGTTCGTGATATGCCATGTGGCACGACACGGCATGTGATCACATTACCTACGATGGCATGGCATGGCATGGCACATGATGGCATGGTATGGTATGTCGTGACACGACATGGCATGGCACATGATGGCATGATATGGCATCACATGATATGGCATGGCACGATATGGCATGGCGCGATATGGCATGGCACGTTTTGGCATGGCCCGATATGGCATGGCATGATATGGCATGGCACGATATGGCATGGCACGATATATGGCATGGCACGATATGGCATGGCACGGTATATGGCTTGGCACGATATATTGCATGGCACGATATGGCATGGCATGGCACATGACGGCACGCCCCATCAGCTGGTGGATGTGAACGACATGTCACGGCACGAGGCAGAGGAGCTCATCCGTGCCACTGCCTTCCACGTGCCCCACACTGCTCAACAACACTCCCACCTCCCCCTCCGCCAAGCGTATGTCCTCCTGACCCGTGTTTTCCTCGCCTCCTCCCTTTTCGTCCTCGTGTATTCCTTTCCGCCGCACCCCACTCTGCCCTCGCTACCCACTTCCTCACACCAACGATTTCTCTCTGCGCACGCATCTGCACATACAATGCTCACCTTCCATCCTCAACCCCTTCACCTGAACGTAGCATGCCCTTCTGTTTTCACCCAGTGTCGCATCAACCCCAGAATGTGCACACACTTAGGTCTTCCTCTCCCACGTCTCCCACCCCTCCCCCACTTGGCTCCCTCTTCTCCACAGTCCTGATCCACAGTCCGGATCCACAGTCCTGATCCACAGTCCTGATCCACGGTCCTGATCCACGGTCCTGATCCACAGTCCTGATCCACAGTCCTGATCCACAGTCCTGATCCACAGTCCTGATCCACAGTCCTGATCCACAGTCCTGATTCACAGTCCTGATCGACAGTCCTGATCCACAGTCCTGATCCACAGTCCTGATCCACAGTCCTGATCCACAGTCCTGATTCACAGTCCTGATCCACAGTCCTGATCCACAGTCCTGATTCACAGTCCTGATCCACAGTCCTGATTCACAGTCCTGATCCACAGTCCTGATTCACAGTCCTGATTCACAGTCCTGATTCACAGTCCTGATTCACAGTCCTGATCCACAGTCCTGATCCACAGTCCTGATCCACAGTCCTGATTCACAGTCCTGATCCACAGTCCTGATCCACAGTCCTGATTCACAGTCCTGATCCACAGTCCTGATTCACAGTCCTGATCCACAGTCCTGATTCACAGTCCTGATTCACAGTCCTGATTCACAGTCCTGATTCACAGTCCTGATCCACAGTCCCACTTCTCAAAGACCGTCTTCCTCCTCTCCGGCCTTCCCCCCACCTCCCACCACACAGACGGCGGCAGGCGCTGCTAATCCTGGCCAGCCTGGCATCCACCAAGGAGAGAGCCCTCACGTGGATGCTGTACATCTGTGAGCACCTGCTGCACCTCTTCCTCGCCCACTTCTCCCTCCACCACTCCCTCCTCTCCCGCTCCTCCTCGCCCCTCGCCTCCTCCCTCTCGCCCTCCCCCACCACCTTCTCCTCCCGCCCGCGCTCCCTGCGCGTGCAAGGGCCTCGCATGTCCCTGTCCCCTGGGGGGCCTGATGGGATGGGGTTCGGGGGAGTGGCTGAGGGGGGAGAGCATGCAGCAGCAGCAGCAGAGGCGGCTGCAGCTGGGGTGGCAGGGGGGCACAGCAGGGAGGAGTTTGAGGCGGTAGTTGGGAGCACTGCTGACCTGGAGGCTGTGGCTCGTGAGGTGCTGCCAAGTGTCAACCGACTAGTGGAGGTGAATGAGGTGAGCTGGTTGGCACATGCAATGCTCTCTGGGTGGAACGATTTATGTGAGAGGACAATCTACCAGATGGTACAGGTAGAGCTGGTACGAGTATTATCTGCACACTCTAAGTCATTAGGATTGCTCACAGGACATGATTGCTCACAGGACATGATTGCTCACAGGACATGATTGCTCACAGGACATGATTGCTCACAGGACATGATTGCTCACAGGACATGATTGCTCACAGGACATGATTGCTCACAGGACATGATTGCTCACAGGACATGATTGCTCACAGGACATGATTGCTCACAGGACATGATTGCTCACAGGACATGATTGCTCACAGGACATGATTGCTCACAGGACATGATTGCTCACAGGACATGATTGCTCACAGGACATGATTGCTCACAGGACATGATTGCTCACAGGACATGATTGCTCACAGGACATGATTGCTCACAGGACATGATTGCTCACAGGACATGATTGCTCACAGGACATGATTGCTCACAGGACATGATTGCTCACAGGACATGATTGCTCACAGGACATGATTGCTCACAGGACATGATTGCTCACAGGACATGATTGCTCACAGGACATGATTGCTCACAGGACATGATTGCTCACAGGACATGATTGCTCACAGGACATGATTGCTCACAGGACATGATTGCTCACAGGACATGATTGCTCACAGGACATGATTGCTCACAGGACATGATTGCTCACAGGACATGATTGCTCACAGGACATGATTGCTCACAGGACATGATTGCTCACAGGACATGATTGCTCACAGGACATGATTGCTCACAGGACATGATTGCTCACAGGACATGATTGCTCACAGGACATGATTGCTCACAGGACATGATTGCTCACAGGACATGATTGCTCACAGGACATGATTGCTCACAGGACATGATTGCTCACAGGACATGATTGCTCACAGGACATGATTGCTCACAGGACATGATTGCTCACAGGACATGATTGCTCACAGGACATGATTGCTCACAGGACATGATTGCTCACAGGACATGATTGCTCACAGGACATGATTGCTCACAGGACATGATTGCTCACAGGACATGATTGCTCACAGGACATGATTGCTCACAGGACATGATTGCTCACAGGACATGATTGCTCACAGGACATGATTGCTCACAGGACATGATTGCTCACAGGACATGATTGCTCACAGGACATGATTGCTCACAGGACATGATTGCTCACAGGACATGATTGCTCACAGGACATGATTGCTCACAGGACATGATTGCTCACAGGACATGATTGCTCACAGGACATGATTGCTCACAGGACATGATTGCTCACAGGACATGATTGCTCACAGGACATGATTGCTCACAGGACATGATTGCTCACAGGACATGATTGCTCACAGGACATGATTGCTCACAGGACATGATTGCTCACAGGACATGATTGCTCACAGGACATGATTGCTCACAGGACATGATTGCTCACAGGACATGATTGCTCACAGGACATGATTGCTCACAGGACATGATTGCTCACAGGACATGATTGCTCACAGGACATGATTGCTCACAGGACATGATTGCTCACAGGACATGATTGCTCACAGGACATGATTGCTCACAGGACATGATTGCTCACAGGACATGATTGCTCACAGGACATGATTGCTCACAGGACATGATTGCTCACAGGACATGATTGCTCACAGGACATGATTGCTCACAGGACATGATTGCTCACAGGACATGATTGCTCACAGGACATGATTGCTCACAGGACATGATTGCTCACAGGACATGATTGCTCACAGGACATGATTGCTCACAGGACATGATTGCTCACAGGACATGATTGCTCACAGGACATGATTGCTCACAGGACATGATTGCTCACAGGACATGATTGCTCACAGGACATGATTGCTCACAGGACATGATTGCTCACAGGACATGATTGCTCACAGGACATGATTGCTCACAGGACATGATTGCTCACAGGACATGATTGCTCACAGGACATGATTGCTCACAGGACATGATTGCTCACAGGACATGATTGCTCACAGGACATGATTGCTCACAGGACATGATTGCTCACAGGACATGATTGCTCACAGGACATGATTGCTCACAGGACATGATTGCTCACAGGACATGATTGCTCACAGGACATGATTGCTCACAGGACATGATTGCTCACAGGACATGATTGCTCACAGGACATGATTGCTCACAGGACATGATTGCTCACAGGACATGATTGCTCACAGGACATGATTGCTCACAGGACATGATTGCTCACAGGACATGATTGCTCACAGGACATGATTGCTCACAGGACATGATTGCTCACAGGACATGATTGCTCACAGGACATGATTGCTCACAGGACATGATTGCTCACAGGACATGATTGCTCACAGGACATGATTGCTCACAGGACATGATTGCTCACAGGACATGATTGCTCACAGGACATGATTGCTCACAGGACATGATTGCTCACAGGACATGATTGCTCACAGGACATGATTGCTCACAGGACATGATTGCTCACAGGACATGATTGCTCACAGGACATGATTGCTCACAGGACATGATTGCTCACAGGACATGATTGCTCACAGGACATGATTGCTCACAGGACATGATTGCTCACAGGACATGATTGCTCACAGGACATGATTGCTCACAGGACATGATTGCTCACAGGACATGATTGCTCACAGGACATGATTGCTCACAGGACATGATTGCTCACAGGACATGATTGCTCACAGGACATGATTGCTCACAGGACATGATTGCTCACAGGACATGATTGCTCACAGGACATGATTGCTCACAGGACATGATTGCTCACAGGACATGATTGTGCATGTGGTACGCAGTTGCATGCTTTCATTTCATCCCATCTAAGTGTCTGCCCTGTACTCTAGCCTGTGTTCTCCATCGCTAATGCATCCATCACGTGCCCGTTCTCCTCCCGTCCACCGCTCCCCTTGCAGGACCGTGTGGGCTACAGCACAGACTACCCAAGGTGCCTTGTTCTCTCGCTGTTTTGTTAGTCGCCTAAACACTCCTCTCCCCCCTTCTCCACCGCTCCCCGTGCAGGACTGTGTGGGGTGCAGCACGGACTACACGAGCCGCCTTGCTCTCTCGCTTTTTTATACTCGCCTAAAATTCTGTTCTCTGCCCGTCTACTCTACCGTTCCCTTGCAGGGCCGTGTGGGATGCAGCACGAATTACATTAAGCGCCTTGCTTTGTCTATGTTCTTATACTCGCTTAAGAGATCATCTCTCCCCCTGTCTACTGTCTGCGTCCATCGCTCCCTGTGCAGGACCGTGTGGGGTGCAGCACGGATTACATGAGGCGCCTTGCTCTCTCGCTGCGCTCCTCTCTGCTGCTCCAGTTCCACCTCTGATGCATTGCTCTGTGTTGACCACTGCTCTTTGCTGCACCGATTGTGGCCAACTATAGATGGTAGTAATCACACATAGGCATGGTACAGCGTGTTGACGCTTTTGTCCTTCCCGAGCAGGGCTGTTTCTGTTGCTGGAAACAAGTAACTCAACGCTTCTGATGTGTCGGCACATCGAACTGCAAACGAAGCAAACTGTAACGAAGCAACAGCGAGTCAACCGAGGAGGTTGACAAAAGCAACAGCTGGAGGTTACGCGAAGGTCAAAGGTCAGCGACCTTTGACTCGACGAAAAGCAGCGCGACAGCAAGGGCAAACTACTGACTCGGTATTGAGCAGTTGCCCGAGTCGTCGCTGTATCGAACCGCAACAGCAACAGTAATCTATCACACACCAGCGCAAGGTGGTTCAACGCTTCCGCAATTACAACATTCCTACCCGGATTTTAGCATTGAAAAGATCCTACGGGCTTTTCTCAGTCCAGCATGGTATGAGAGCTGTCAAGGCAAATTCAACTCCGTTAACACTCCTACAACAATAGAAGACGTGGCTACACGGAAGGAGAGAAGCTCCTCTAACGGCTCTCCTACTCCACCTCCAGCCTCAGGCCTACAGACATAAGAAGGCACGGCGACAAGACCAGCTGCTGTGTCTACGGAAACTCCAGCGAACCAAGCAACAGTCTTTGACCCAAGTATGATGGAGAAGTTCTTCTCCTTCATGTCCTTCTACGAACAGCACTAGCAAGCAGCACATGCACAATCAAACAACAGCGACAACAACAACGGAGTCACACCAATGAGTCTCGACGGCTCATCCTATGCGCGCGGAAACCAGCAGCAACCTACCTTCGCTCCATACGAGCCTCAACGTGGCTCTATCAGCTTCATGCCACACCAGCCTCCACCTGGACAAGAGAAGACATTGGACGCGCTTCAGGTACAGTCGCAATTCGCACACGTTCTAAAACTGCAGACATCAACACCGTTCGACGGCAAAGACTTCTATACCTGGTCATTCAATTCGAGCTGATGATGGAGGGCGCACAGAGTCTCGGATTCGTTGACGGATCCCTGCCATACCTAACACACGGGACGCAGTACGACAAGCAACAATACGCGTATCAGTCGCTGATGGCATACACAATTCTTCTACAGAACATCACACCGAACGAACAGCAGAACATTTGGTCTTATCATGGATACGGTAACTCCGCCGAGCTCGCGTACAACGACCTTAAGAACCTGTATCAAGCAACAGACAGCGTCAATCAGAGTCGTCTCATGGCACAGCTGACAACAGTGGAAATGAAACCCGGCGAAAAGGGGATGGCGTATGTTAGCCGATGTCGCGGATTGCGCGACAGACTCCTTCGATGCGGAGGATCGATATCTGAAGAAGCCTTTGTCGTAGTCGTCATCACTGGCCTCGACCCCCATTGGCGTTCCACTCGAGCCATTCTTCGAGCTCACGGGAAGATCTCCGAAGCAGCACTCTGCGCCGAAATCCACGCTGAGCAGCAGGACATGGACCTGCACGAAGAACGTCACAAGAAAAGAGCATCAACACCCAAATTCGCATTCCACACTCAACGACGCTACAACAACAACAACAACAACCGGCAGAATAAATATCAACCACAACGACACGTACCACCATTCTGTCACCTCTGCAAGACGTCAGGACACCCTCGCACCCACTGCCCAAATCAATAGCAGTCAACGCCGCCGCAACGTCAGCTTCGACCCTCGAGCAGTCAAGTAGCTTCTACGCAGGCACATCTCACCAATCAAGTGCAGTCCTCAACGACACCGACAACTCAATCTGCACAAGGCACAAGAAATATTGTGAGCTGCATGGCAAGGTTAACAGACTCCTGCATCACCGAGTCGCCCGCCGCACTACTCACCAGAAGAACTACTCGACGAAAGCACTCCTCGCCGCGAGTCACTGGAACCGAACCCGACGTACGCAGCCATCGCCCAGAGCGAGCCGTCCGGGAAAGACACCTGGTTCTTGGACAGCTGCTGCGGACAGCACATGTGCTCCTCGGGTCGCTTCGTTCAACGAGAACACCAACTTCAGCGTGAAGTCGTAATCACCGTCGCCAACAACCAGAACTTGCGCACACGACGCCAAGGGATAGTTCAACTTCAGTCTCGAGAAACCAACGTTATCCTGCAAATATCAAAGGTTGTAATTGCAGAAGGACTCGGCTACAACCTACTCAATGTCAGTCAACTGATGGCGAAGGGAATTCACCTCGAAGCAGACAGCACCATTTAGGAGTTCAAGCTGTATCACGGGAAGGGCGGACTGTACATCGGAAAGGCAGTGTTGAAGAACAATGTCTTCGTCCTCGACTTTATCCCAGATCAAGGCACCGCCGACAGCGACGGAATCGTCAACTTCACCTCTTGGACACACCCGCCAGATCTCGACCCCGACTTCAGCCCCGGCGGCTTCTGGTACTCGAACACTATACCTAAGGCGGAACGGACGAGAGCATGAGCAACAATTCAAACAACATCGGCAGCAGCAGAAACAACATCGGCAGCAGCAGAAACAACATCGGCAGCAGCAGAAACAACATCGGCAGCAGCAGAAACAACATCGGCAGCAGCAGAGACAACACCGGCAGCAGCAGAGACAACACCGGCACCAATCGGTGGTCCTTCAACAGCACCGGTCTCCATCAACGACACGCCACCAAAACCTGCGCAACAGCTGACTCCCACTCCACGCGAAGCCCACAGAAGCGCCAACTTCACCGCAGGTTTTTACTCCAAATCCGACCTGTACAGGCGCTCACCCAGACATCGCGTTAGCGAAGACATCTAGCATGCAAGGATGGGACACCCGAGCAACACAACGTTAAACAATACGATAAGAGTTGGAGTATTTGACAAGGACTCACTGCTTCTACACGACGGCAGAGAACTTCAACGAGTCCGCGAAACATGTTTTACCTGCCCTGAAGCCGACTTACCGCATCAGCCGTTCGTCTCTCACCACAACCCGAGCGCTCCAGCATACGCACCACTGGAAAAGGTGTATAGCGACATACTGTACAATCGCGAACCCGGACAAGGAGCGTATAACTACGTCATCACGTTCATCGACGCCGCCACACGATACGTCTGGCACTTCAACCTCCCGAGCCGGGACATGGTCTTTGAAGCCTTCGTTGCCTGGCTTCCAGTAGTAGAACGAGAATCAGGAGCGAAGCTGAAAAGCTTCCAGTCAGACGGGGGAGGGGAATATCAGTCACAAAGATGCAAGCAGTACCTGGCAGAACGAGGCATCAAGCGGCTCATCTCCCTTCCCTACGCCCACCAACAGCAAGGCGTAGCAGAAAGGATGAACAGGACTCTCCAGAACACCATGCGCAGGCTACTGCGGGGCATGCGGCTACCCAACCACCAGTGGCCCGAAGCGATGGACCATGCTGTGATGCTGCACAACTTGCTTTCGTCATCATCGCTCCCGAACAACGCATCACCGCATGTGCTGCAAACAGGAAAAATGGGCAGCACAAAAATGATGCGAGTGTTCGGCTGCATGGTACAGTACCGACCCCCAACTGCACGAGCCGGCCGATTCTCTCAACGCGCACAGTGGGGAGTACACCTGGGCATCGAAAAACATTACAACGCATGGAAGATCTTTTACGTCCACTCGAAGGAAACAGTAGCAGCACGTGACGTGATTTTCTACGAACGGCTCACCCTCCTATCGTACCTTGCCAACCTGGAAGAAGAACGAGACCCCACAGGCGGATTTCATGGTGACCGAGCCTTTTCTTCGGCAGCAAACGAAGCCAACTGAGACGAGCAGAACGTGGACAGAGCATCGGAGGAAGCCGGACCTCTACCCTACTACTGAGTGGACATCCCGATGGACGACGACAACCCTCGCGAAAGCATCAACGCCGAAGTCTACTACGACCTCGCCGACAACGGTTACGTTACACCTCAACCAGTCAACACCAACATCTCAGAACGCATAGGACCCAATTTCTTACCTGATCCAGAAGCGGGAGACGAAGCAGTTTATCCCGAGGACCCAAATCTCAGGAGATACTGGGACTTGTCACCGCCGTCCACGGAGCAACACCACCTAAGGAGCCTGCCACAGTTCAGCAGGCTCTGGGGGGGAGCATAAGGAAAAATGGCGCGAAGCCATGGACAGGGAATTGAAGGCGCTGGAAGAACGCAACACCTGGAAAATCGTTCCCATCGGAGTGGCACGCAACAAGACAATACTCACCGGGAAGTGGGTCTTCCGCGTGAAGACCGCAAAAGGTTGACGGAACCATCGACAAGTTCAAGGCACGATGAGTCGTACGAGGCTTCAACCAAGAACACGGACGAGACTTCACCGAAACTTTTGCGCCGGTCAGCCGACACACCTCACTGCGGATTCTCCTTGCAATAGCGGCCATGAAGCGGAAGAAGCTCCGCCAAATCGATGTCGGCAACGCCTTTCTCTACGCCCCCATCGATGCTGAGATCTTCGTCGAACAACCACACGGCTCCAACGCACATCCTAACCAAGTTTGTCAGCTGATAAAATCCTTAAACGACATTAAGCAAGCTCCGAGACTGTGGCAGCAATACTTACACGCTCGGCTAATCCGCATAGGATTCCGCCAACTACCGCACGACCAAGGCATGTACCGACTCACGAAAGGCACCGACTACATCCTGCTAATCGTCTACGTGGACGATCTGCTCTACATCGGCTCAACCGACGGCATCACGACCTGGTTCGAAGGGGAGCTGCAGCGGGATCTCACACTCACCGTCTCCTCCACCGGAACACAGTATCTCGAGCTCAACATTCAAGAAGGGGAGAACGCGATCCACCTCAGCGCCGCAAAATACGCCGACACCATCGCCAAGCGCTTCGGATTAACTCCAGCCACTATCTCCACGCCATACCGCTACACCGCCAAAAATCACAAGGAAACCTCGGCTCCGCTCAAACCTGCCGGCATACGT